AAGATAAAGATAAGGATAAAGAAGACAAAAAAGATAAGGATAAAGATTAAGATAAGGATAAAGATAAGGAAGATAAAGATAAGGAAGATAAAGATAAGGATAAAGATAAGGATAAAGATAAGGATAAAGATAAGGATAAAGATAAGGATAAAGATTAAAAGATAAAGATAAAGATAAGGAAGATAAGATAAGATAAGGGTAAAGATAAAGATAAGGATAAAGATAAGATAAAGATAAAGATAAGGAAGATAAATATAAGGAAGATAAAGATAAGGAAGATAAAGATAAGGATAAAGATTAAGATAAGGATAAAGATAAGGAAGATAAGAAGATAAAGATAAGGATAAAGATAAGGATAAAGTTAAGGATAAAGATTAAAAGATAAGGATAAAGATAAGGAAGATAAAGATAAGGAAGATAAGATAAAGATAAGGATAAAGATAAGATAAAGATAAAGATAAGGAAGATAATTATAATGAAGATAAAGATAAGGATAACGAAGATAAATATAAGAAGATAAGGATAAAGATAAGAGGATAAATATAAGGGAGATAAGGAAGATAAGAAGATAAATATAAGAAGATAAAGATAAGGATAAAGATAAGAAGATAAAGATAAGGATAAAGATAAGAAGATAAGGAAGATAAGGAAGATAAGGAAGATAAAGATAAGAAGATAAGAAGATAAGGAAGATAAAGATAAGGATAAAGATAAAGATAAAGATAAGGAAGATAAAGATAAGAGGATAAAGATAAAAATAAGGATAAAGAAGATAATGATAAGAATAAAGATAAAGAAGATAAAGATAAGGATAAAGAAGATAAATATAAGGATAAAGAAGATAAAGATAAGGAAGATAAAGATAAGGATAAAGATAAAGAAGATAAAGAATATAAAGATAAAGATAAGGATACAGAATAATACTGGATAGATGCATTAATGAATATATATAGAACGAATACGCCAACTCATTATCACTTACAGCTAGACGTTCGTGGTGTGAACATGTCTTTTCCGTGCAATATATGTGCCAAAGTATTTACAACACGCGGCAACCTCAAGCGTCATACTTTGAATACCCATGGAGATGCTCAAAGCAAACCAGTTGAAATCTTAGCAGGATCTACAGTTTTGCAGCATCCTTTCACATGTATCGTAGCTGGGTGTACCCAAAGCGGCAAAACCGTGTGGGTAAAATCTCTCTTGGAGAATGCACAGAAAACTATAAGTCCTGCTCCTCAACGTATCATTTGGTGTTATGATCAATGGCAACCCTCCTATTTTGATATGATGAGAACGATGCCTGGAATCGAGTTTAATCAAGGCATCCCCGAAGACATCGACAACGCAGATTACTTGGACGTATCGCAACGGAATTTGATCGTATTGGACGACCTTATGGCTCAA